TTTTCTTGTTTGTCTCTTTTTCCCCAATCTTTCCTCTTCTCCTTTCTTCTTGCCTTTCCTTCCCTCTTCAGCTTTTCTTGTTCCAGAACAGACTTCTGATCTGGAATCTTAATTGTTGCTTGAAAGGGTGCAGAGACATTTGGAGTACTGGAATAGAAAGGGGAGAGGAAAAGAAAGAAAATTAAAAAAAACAACCAAAATAATGCTTCACTTTATGTTCCTTTGTCTGCCTTTACTTTAAATTCTATATTGATTCTTTGTCATAATCAAGAATTTACTTGTCACTTCCTCTCTTCTCCTTCCTTTCTTACTCTTCTTCCTTCCTTTCCCCCTTCACCTTTTTACTTGTTTTAAACTTTAACTTCCCATTTTATTTCCTCTTTTTTCACTTCAGGGTTGGAGATAAGGTTTCTCCCTTATCATTCCTGTGTTATCTTTGGACCTTTATGACTTCCACTGTCCAATATTTATATTTTCCTTTTTGTCTCTTTTTGTTTTTTCTACATAGGTAGTGTGGAGTATGAATCCCCATTGACCCCTCTTTCTCACACCACCAAGTACTCAGTACATTTTTACTGCTGGTCACGCCCAAACCAAAAGTTGTTTTGTTTTTTTAGTTCTTCTGCTTGCTTGCTATACCGGCCTCCACTTCATACAGGAGTTGACTTCTCTCCGGTACTTGCCAGCCTGACTAGCGTTCTTCTTCCTCTGCATCTCTAATGTGTTTTCTTGGTGTGTCTGCATCTTGCGGACATCCCTCTGCCAAAGATCCGCTTCCCCGCTTCAGGATGCGTACATATCCAATCCACTTCTTCCTTCTACTACCACCAAGCTCCCTTACCGTGTATTCAATCCTGATATTTATTCTCTTTCTGAGGAGGTTTATTAAGTGCCTTCTGTGCTTATAGTCTTTACAGTGTGTACTGCAGGGTAGGTACTGATTTAATAAATTTGACAGATAAATAAATTAAACAGATAAGTACTTCAGTACTCATCTATTTGTAGAATTGGTGTCAGAATTGGTGTCAGAGCCAATTTCCCAGACGGAATTCTCAGCCCTTATGACCTCTGGGGGATTTGCTTGACTTTCCTCTTGTAACTATGGCATCCATTTCTCTATTTATCCTCCTGTTTGTTGTTTGTCCGATTTCTGGAACGATATTACAATTCAGCCGTCCGTATATCTTCACTTGCCTCCCCACCCGTGGTTTCACTTAACTCTGTTTTTCAGATTCTGTTTGCATCCCTGTTTGCTTCCTCACCACCGGGTCTCCCTCTAGTGCGCCACCCGGAGCGCGTGTCTTATGTCATCGCTCCCGCCCCATCACTGCCTATTATTGTTTTACAAGTGAGACATCGCTGAATACAAATATGTGTATTTTATTGCACTAAAAGCAAACAGTATTATGACATTCACAGTTAAAATGTCACATAGAACTAAAATCTTTTTAAAAATTCTTATTTTCTTCAATTTTTTTATATTTTATTCATATTAAATTATGTTTCATAAATTATTTAAATATTTGATGTTAAATGAGAGCCCTGATTTCCCTGAATAAAATGATATATAAAATTATGTTAACGGAGGCGTTTGTAAACTGAGGTCCCTCAGTTTACAAAGTGTGCACTGTGATGGACCCTCAGCCGACGGATGCTCCTAGTACTCACTAAGGACCATCAGCACCACACCAGACACCATAACCACTGCAGACCTCACAACTGCCGTAGCTTGGTTGAGGTCTCTCCATCTTCTGCCCACCCTGGACCCATGACAAGACTCCGGGTTCCAGTGGGTAATTCTCTCCAAGAGAGTATAGCAGAATCAGCAGTAGAGCTCTTACAAGAGCTCGTAGAATCCAAGGGAGTATAATGATTATAGCAATCCCTGTAGTGATTATTGCTGTTCCCTACAACATGAGACGAGGCTGCGAGTTGAGTGTAAGAGGGTCTGAAGGTTTATTGGTACAGGTTGGATTTATATACAATTCCTCAGGCCAGGGGAACACCCCCTGGACATGATGTGGCAGCGAATTATAAAATGTACAGACCAATAAAAACAATGTAACAATGAACGACACTCACATACAGTACACAATCCCTCCCCTCTGCCTGTGATATAATTAAGGCAGATAATGCATTAACTTAATTATCCCCAGGCAGAAAAAAATAATTTTTATAAAGTACCATAAGTACTCCAAAACACAACATATCCCCATAAATGTTACATCCCCTGGTAGCCCTGATCTGCGTAACACAACATATCCACAAATCACCCAGATCAGATCAAGGGTTAAGGAATTTTATGGAAGTCATATTTTTGCCCAGGCCAACGCAGGATTTCATGCCCAAAACAGTTCCACAGATTAGCGGCTAAGTGCTGCTGGAGGACCGACTGGAAACCACAAGATTTTCATGCTGAAAATAGTTCCAGGGCATTTGCGTCTAAGTCTCCTGAAGTCTATTCGCGGTTTTGGCCCATGCGAAAAAGATGGCCGCCACCACGTGTTCAGATGTCGAATGGTGGCCACTTCGACTGTTCGGGAGTTCGAAGAACCATTGTCTAAAGTCCCAATAGCCACATAGAGGGTTTCAGCCAAAACAAATTAAAGGGGCCATAGTCACAGGGCAAAAAGTTGTCAAGAAGTCCTCTCCAAAACCCAATGGCGAAGTGGCTTTCGTCACATGCACATAATATGAAAGAGGTGAATTACGCCTGAACAGACATATTGCGCAAATTCAAGGTTTTGTTTACGTTTTGTTTTGATCACAACATGTACATTTGGCTCACTCCTTAAGGGGTTAAGCACTACCCCATCTGCTCTATACTTGTGAGTGAACTGCGTGTTTTTACTTTTTGTCCATATTTATTGCGGTGTTATATACACTATATTTTATTTCTAATTTCTCTTCTACATCCAATTATATGGAGTTTCTTGGAATATCCCTCGTTTTCTACATATTTAATAGTGTAAGTTATGTGTATTCACAGTTTTATGGGTGTTTTACATACTATATAACATATCACAATGTTTACATTGAGCACACCTTTTTTATGTATTTGATGTGTATTTATAAGTGTTATGTGATTTCATGTAAATAGATTGCTGCTGCAATTGTGTGTGTAACAGCACCATCTAATCACTTCATCTTCTTATGAAACCATTACCAAACATATTCTTGCAACCCTTGTGCAATGATGTGTGAGTTAATTGCAAGTGAGGTCAGTGAGAATTCACCACTAAATGCCACATCATATTAACTATGGAAAGAAAGATACACAATTCTGTAACATGTAGTTCAATGCTTATGCTTAATCATTTTTTCCCCTAAATCGAAGTGTACACCCTACCCTTGATTATTAAACTGTCAGATGCCATGTTTATAGATCATGTACCCAACCAATGGGGGATATTCTACATTGATGTCAAGTAATGGAACTTCTATTGCTTTCATAATTAGTGAATTTAATATTCATGTCAAACCAGATGAATTTTCTTTACACACACTCTTGTGTACACACGTTGTATCGTGAATAAATACACAAAAACATTCCCAGCCACACTGAGATTCCCTTCCCACCAACTAAGTTACTCTTTGTTTTTAGGTTTAGTTATGTACATATATACACTACACTATATTATTTATTACAACTATCTATTGTAATTGCATAAAAACAGCAAAATTCAAAACTAGAAAAAATTCAAGTACATAAAAAACATAAACGCAATCTCTCTTCCTTATACATAAACACTGACACTAAAACATGAATTTGAAATAATACACTTTTACCAGATTGGCTTCCTCAAAAAGAAAATGCTGCCTGCATCAAATGGCCTTTCTAAATGCATGCTGTTTTCTATCGTCTGACGATTAACCAGTTGGCTTGCTCATAGGGAAAAGTTCTGCTAAACGTTCACAATACCTAAATCCTCTGGAGCAGAAGTGATGGATCGGCAGTAATGGTATGTCGATATCACTTTGGGACCAGTGATCCTTGTACCCATAGTAGCAGACAAAACATAGGACGGGGAATCATGTAAATGCCAATCTAAGTATATAGAATATATCAAATACATAGTATATTAAGGTTCAATTAGCAGACAACCTTAGAATAAAGTATATTAGATGTAAGAGGTCCTCAAGAGGGGAATGGAACTTAAATAGCATTAAACCATAATAAAATTGGACAAATTATGAGATAAAAAGGGAAACTTTAAAGGGAAAACATATTTATCATAGTATATAGTAACAATAAAAAAAAAAAATAACTCTGGTGGATGTGGCGTAGGAGGTTGAGGAGGTGGTGACCGTGGTGGTGTAGGTGGAAGTGGAGGTGGAGGAGGTAGCCAACACTGTTTATTTTTTTTTTTTAATTGGGGTAGCCCCCAAAATATTTGGACAAATAAGAAACGAAAACAAAGAATAAGTGCACTTGAGTATAACAATGGCTGGATGAGGCCGGTATAAATGTCTATTTTGCACAAGGTACAGACAAGTCTGATGGGATCCATGCCTGGTTCATTTTAATAAACGTGAGCTTGTCCACGTTGGCTGTGGACAGGCGGCTGCGCTAGTCTGTGATAACGCCCCCTGCTGTGCTAAACACACGTTCAGACAATACACTGGCTGCAGGGCAGGCCAGCACCTCCAAGGCATAAAGGGCAAGCTCAGGCCATGTGCCCAATTTGGAGACCCAGAAGTTGAATGGGGCAGACCCATCAGTCAGTACGTGTATCATGTGCACACGTACTGTTCCACCATGTTGCTGAAATGCCTCCTGCTAAGACGTTCCATATCAGATGGTGGTGCAGGTTGTTGTGGCGTGCTGACAAAGCTTTTCCACATTTCGGCTATGCTAACCTTGCCTTCTGAGGTGCTGGCAGTGCCCCAGCTGCGTTGGTGACCTCTTCCTCCTCCTCTGCCTTCGCCTTGTGCTTCCCCTGAGCCCCCGGTGTCAGTTGGGAATGCCCTCAGCAGCGCATCTACCAGTTTGTAGTCGCGCATCTTCTGATCACACTCCAGTGAGGAAATTAAGGACGGCACGTTGTCCTTGTAACGATGATCCAGCAGGGTTGCCACCCAGTAATCAGCACAAGTTAGAATTTGGGCAACTTGGCAGTCGTTGCGCTGGCACTTTGGTGACTCTACATAGCCTTGGGCCGACTGCATGTCCCCGTGACGGCGCATTCGGATGTCTGCCCTATCAACTTTCGATGTTACTTTCTGTACCTACCATGGTGACCACGGGTAACAGGGAATCAGGGTTCAATTCCGGAGAGGGAGCCTGAGAAATGGCTACCACATCCAAGGAAGGCAGCAGGCGTGCAAATTACCCACTTGGGGAGGTAGTGATGAAAAATAACAAAACAGGACTCTTTCGAGGCCCTGTAATTGGAATGAGTACACTTTAAATCCTTTAGCGAGGATCTATTGGAGGGCAAGTCTTGTGCAGAGCAACTGACCCGTGCGTGCTGCAGCTGAAACTCCACTATCGCCTGCTGCTGCTCGCACAGTCTCTCCAGCATGTGCAAGGTGGAGTTCCACCTTGTGTGCACGTCGCATATTAGGCGGCGAGTGGAAAGGCCGAAGTTACACTGCAGGGCAGACAGGCGAGCAGCAGGGGTGAGAACGCCGAAAGCGCACGCAGCCGCTACAATGAAACTGCGAATGGCTCATTAAATCAGTTATGGTTCCTTTGATCGCTCCATCTGTTACTTGGATAACTATGGTAATTCTAGAGCTAATACATGCCGATGAGCGCTTTTTTGCAAAAAAAAATTCTCGCCCATCTTCTGTGGGTTATTGCATTTTTAAGATGTAGATTTGTTGTATCACACTAGCCATGCACAGGTAGATTGTCTGGCACATTGTTTTAGTGTTTGATTTTTTAACTTTGTAGTTGTGTCTTTACACAATATAGAAATGTATATTAATGCTTCTGTATATGAAGTGATCACAATAACACTTATTTATCACTTAAAAAAAAAATCAGGCTAAACAAAAATTGGTAATTAACGATATGACATCTGAAAAGCACATGAAAGAATGCTGTAGGATTTAAAAAAAAAAAAGAACACAATACATGAAGGTCCTGTTCACTAGAGTGTAGTCATAAATGTAACCAGTAAAACTTTGTTTTTACAGCCACTGGTTGGCCCATACATATTTTAAAACTTGTTTAATTTTGTTTTAGCATGACTGGTAGTCTTGTTTTTAACTTGTCTATAATACATATTTTTGTATGACACTTAGTGTGTTTTTTCATTGATTATTGAATATTAAGGGTCTAAGATAATTAACATGTCAACAGGCAAACGTAACCCGAATGATTTGTCTCAGTCTTGCCTTCTATACTACCTGCACCATAGGCAACATTTATTTGTCTTTAGACTTTCTTGAGAAGCAGTAACTAGCCAGTGTTGCACACACACACCAGATATGAAGTGCACACCCCAAATGTACTATTTAGCACCATAAAAATGTGAATTTTTAAAACAGCGATGTAACCACAGTATTTGACGGTTCTATTTGACTCTAAGATATGAAGTGCACACCCCAAATGTACTATTTAGCACCAAAAAAAATTAGAATTTTTCAAAGTGTGATGAAATGTCCGTGTTCGGGTCCGGGGTCCAAAAAACGTAATGTTCGGTACGAACCTGAACTTTCCAGTTCGGGTTCGCTCATCTTTAGCTATCATTCATTAAACTTCACCTATGTTTTCTAAAGCTTTTCTTTAATTGGTGGTTATTAAAATCGCAAATAAAAGATACTCGAGTGTCCCTCTTTTTGTTTTGTCTTTTTAATTAATCAATTCAGCCCTTTATTCCCTAATTGCTTCTCTATATGCTTTCCTCTAGATTAAAAGTGTTTGAGCAGGGTCCTCATTATTCCCTGTAACAAATTGTAATTTTCTTCTTTATTGTTACATTTCCCCCTTTATAATATTTTAAAGCACTGCAGAATAAGTTGACACTATATAAATACCAATATTATTATTATTATTATTATTATCATCATCATCATCATCAATAATAATATAGAAAATATTTTACAAATGTTTATCTTTTTATTGTTAGATATTTTCAGTAAATGTAGAACGTGATAACTTTGAGAATGAAAGAGAAAACATATTACAACCATGGCACAGCTGCATATTGGATAGTTAATTAAATCATTAGAAATTATTGATTGTAGAACATGCAGTTATAAGATTGAATAATAGATTGTGAAACTTAGCACTGTAAAAAATACATTTATTTTTATTTTTTTGAAAAAAAAATTAAAAAAGATATATTTCAATGAACTTTTGAAACTTTCCAAAATGGATTTCACTGAAAAATGAAAACATTGATCTATGGTTAACATAAGAAAAAAAAAAATGCTACAATTAGTGTCCTTTTAATAATTCATATAATGTTGCCAATACTCCCACTAGCTTAATTTATTTTACAAACAATCATTTAAAATTATTCTGAAAACTGTCATTCCTGTAATTATACTATCAATGGTTCGAATACAATATGACTACATAAAGAAAAGTCTCAAAGTGTAGTTTGAGCTATACAATTTAAGCAGATTTGAGCAGGTTTTATATATGAATTATTTAATCCAGAATCTATTCAAAAAGCCACTTTAACATTAATTACAAGCCTGTAACTATATGCCCCTTAACTGAGTATTATTCAGAAAGACCATTAACCTTTTATTAGCAATTTTCAGTCTCTATAATATGTTTTGGACGTTACTTGGAAGCATTCAACAATAAGCTAATGCTTTGTATCCATACCTCCTAACATTTTAAATGGATGAGTGACATTTTTGGAGGTGTAAGTGGATGTGTGGCCAAGGACTGGACAGTTCTGAGAAATTTTTTGGTGACTTATTAATAACAATTTATAGAAATAATGTGTAATTTAGAACAAGAACAACATATCTTATTTACACAGATGGATTTATAAACACATTTATTATAGTTTAAATGCACATTGTCAGTACTATTACTGTGGAGTTCAATTAAACACATCAACAATAGGAAGGCCCTAAAAAAGAGGGACATTAGGATTGAAAATAGGAAATGGTGAATTTTGGGCACAGAATTGGGATTTTCCCTCCATACTGGAGACAGCTGGGAGGTATGTGTATCTACTATGCTTATCTTGCAAACTCTAAATATTGCAATTGTATAGAACATTTGTACATTTTTAATTTCTCACAGTAATCACTTTCTCTTTTTCATTTTTTTGTTAGGACTTTGTGCAATAATAATTGTGCCTCATGCATTCTCCTTAAACATGGGTCTATGTAATCTTTATAATGCAAAGGTCTATAGGAAACTGTACTCTCTCCCCCTCTCACCAGCAGGCTTGGTTCCTGTTGGTCATTAACAAGGGAAAGAGTCAACCCTAGCATGCAGAACTTATTCACAAAATAGCACAATGGAAATAAAGAATAGCTGTATATTACTAATCTCCAAAAAGACTACTACCAAAGCATTGCTATACCAATTAATTCCATAAGCATGGATATGGTACATGTGCTTTAGTATAGTCTCACCCTTGCATTAGGGATTTCTATGCATTTAAAGCTCTGCCATGAGGTTCAAATATTATTTTAAAGGTAGATCCAAATATATAATTGTAGATAACAGTTTGGTTTCCTTCCTGTAATGTATTAGATCATTATACGTTTTTTTTTCTGGTTATTAGGTTGACAACTGTCAGGGCTTACCTGAGTTGGGAGTCCGGCAGGCAGAGATATATGCTCACCCTTGCAAGTAAACACAGGCCGAGGTGGTCGGGTAAGAATTCACCTGGCCTGTGAGTCTGTGCACAGGGGCTGTGCAGGGTAAACTCAGAGTCACGGTACAGGTACGGATAAACCAGGACAATAGTCGTGGGAAGCCAAGGATCAGAGGATGCCAGAAAGAATAAACTAAAACACAAGCCGGAATCAAGAGCAAACTGGAGAACAGGAAACAGCAAACCGATCACCAGAGTAAAGGAACTGACACCGCCTTCTGGGAGAGGCAGTGTTATATACCTGGCTAACGAGACATCAACTTCAGGTGTAATATGAGTGGCAGGAGTAGTTCCACTAAATGTCCAGCACCCAGTGCTAGATACTAGACAGGGCTAGACACAGGCAACAGTAAAGCTGAGAAGTGGCTCAGAGGTAACATAACAGCACCAGAACCACCAGGTTCAAATCCTGACAACAACATAATAAACCTTCTCTCTGTTTTGGGAAATTATTTGAAAGAAAGTTCAATATATATTCCTTTTCATTAAGAACACCTATACAACCATCTGGTTCATCTTCGTGTATTGGAAGTTGAGTTGGCAGGAATTTTAATTGCCTGCTGAATGTAAGTTCATTTCTTCCAGGATCCCACAGGTACAATAACCAGGTACTGTTTTTTCCTGCATTGATAATTAATGGTTTCCAGTATTGTAGTTCTTTTTGGCATCAGATAATATTTTATATTTTAATTTTAATTTTTTTTTAAGCAATGAAGAGAATGAACATGTGCATTTCTTTGGGATATGACTCCAACTACCCTTTTTTTTTGTTTACGTTCATTCTCTTTATTGTGCATTAAGAAGCGTAAAAACTTGTAAAGAATATGTCAGCAACACCATGGACATGCTTCAATTAGAAATGAATTAAACATGTACGTTTTATAAGAGTAGGAATGACATTCTAAAGGTAGTCTGCTAATGCATCAAGTGTAACCAGTGCCTTAAAGTGCACAAGGTAGTAGAAGGAGTAGTCACAATTGATAATGAGGTCTATATGTATGACCATGCCAGTCATCTGATTACCAGTCTACTTCAATTAGGGAAAGATATTTTAGTAGGAGCCATCAACTAGTCGAATATACTGTTACAAAGTGCAAAGCTGTCAGTAGTCCACAGTGTGTTGGGCAACAAACTTAATGTCAGCTTAAGGAGCTAGAATTTAAGGATGACAAACGAAAGAAACAAAAAATAAATCAGACAGTAAAATCATAAAAAATAGAGAACTCATAAAAAGCATGCAATTTAGAAAAGATAGAGTGGTGGCAGGTCACTGGGCCTTGATGCTGCTGCTCTGGGTACAAATAGAGTTATCCGGTCCATAGGCCAAGACGGGCAATATGCTGCCAAGATGGATCCGTTTGTCATTCCCAGCTCCCAAAGTAAGGAGGACACCTCAGAGAGGTGCATGAGGGAGTGAGCCCTGCCACCTTTCTTCATAAGAAGCCTATGCATGCCCTACTTCTAGGCACATTGTATTCCTATAATAGCTGGGTGAGTTGTCTGAGTGACTGCCTCCAAGAATAGTATGCCAAGACATATCCCGGTATTAAGTCTTTCACATCAGGAGGTCAGAGTCCAGATTTAAACTAAAAAACTAAAAAGCAACGACTAGCTTGCTTTTACATTAAAACATTAATTCATAGCGGCTACATTTAAATGACAGCAACACACATTTT